GTGTGTGTGTGTGTGTGTGTGTGTGTCTCAGAGAGGCACCCTTTGCTTGGCAGACTGCCTGCAGCCCCTTTCCCAGGACCTTGCCTCTTCCTCGCCTCTTCCGGAGTGGGTGGCTGGGAGTCCTTGTTTCCTGCCAAGAGGTCAGCTGCGGGGGTGGGGGTGCAAAGGTCCAGCCAAAAGTCCAGGGCAGAAGGGCTGGTCCTGAAGGGAATTGACCCGCTGCTGGGAGGCCGACTGGCACTATGACCAGGAGCTCACCAGAGCTGTGATTTTTGGCCCAGGGACGGAGCAGCTGAGCTGGGCTGAGCCCCCTGGGAGCCTCCTCTGCCCCAACTGGAGGCACACACCCCTCACTTGGGCGTGCACGTGTGTGCCCGTGCATGCATGTGTCACAGACCGGGAGACAGGGAGTGGTGTGCAAGGCAGTCGAGCCAACTCTGGCTGCCCTTCCTCCGGTCAAGGGCTCTTGTGCCAGAGCAGCAGCTGCCGGTTGCTGGGCCTGTTCACCCGCGGGGGGTGTGTGTGTGATTGGGGCCCGATTCTTCAGAGGTCCCCGGTTTGTGGGAGCGGAAGAGACTGAGGCTGTGCTGGGTGGGGGAGGGGAGAGAACGATCCTTCCTCATGTCTCCCCCCCCCCCTTCGGGGGAGAACATGTTGTTCCACGACTATGAAATCGGGTCTCTTTGTCGCAGCGGGAGGGATCGTCTCTGGGTTGGGCGGATTGCACGGAGTAGAGGACAAGAAATCAGCAGCCCACCCGGAGGAGGAGGAGGAGGAGGAGGAGACAGACAACCTGCCTTCCTGAGCCCCGAGCATCTCCTGGCCCCGCGACCACTGGGGAGGGGAGGAGGGCGGGGTTGTGGAGCGTCGGGCGGAGCCAGCCTGAACCTCCGCGGGGTAAAGGGGGAGAGGTTTCCAGCGCGCCCCTCTGACAGTGATTGACGGAATGCAGCGGTTTGTGGGGGAGGGGCCGAGGAGGGAGAGGAAAGTGGGCGAGCGCTGCCAGGAAGGGTCCCTCCAGGAGGCCCCGCCAGTGGATGCCCTCGGGAGCCGTGGGCTTGTGCAGACTAGGCCAGAGCCTCTTCCGCTCGCCCCCTCCTCAGCATTCCTCTTCTCACACCTGAATGCCGGCAGGCACCTGGCCGCTCCGAGGCCCGGGGAGGGCGGGTGTTTGAAGAGCAGCTCTTCAGATCCTGGGGGACGGAGGAGGGCCCCGAGATCGGAAACCTGAGCCGGCCCTTTATCGGGTTCACACATCTCCTTTGCAAATGGGCCCTCACCAGCCGGGCAGGGGGCAGGCGGAGCGGCTCCCAGGGAGACGCGGCGAGCGAGCGACGAGTGTCGGCTGCTCCCCCGGCCCGCGCGCTCGCCCGCCCGCCCGCACCCGCATCTTGTCTGAGTTAGCAGGCAGAGGAAAGGTGGGGGCTGATCACAACCAGATGCGGCGGGTGTTAAATCATCACAGCCGGGCCAGGACGGGCGTGCAGGAAGCGCACTGGCAAGGGAGAGCGGGGCCCGGATTTCCCCGCTTCCAGAGAGGCACCGGGCCAGGAAACAGGCCGGCCAAGGCCCGGGGTTATAGAGTACGCCCCCCGCCCCCCGGACAGAAAGCAGCCCTTGTACTGGCAGGAGGGGAGGGACGACAGGGCTCTGCCGCGTAGCCGAAATGGTTGGCCTGGCCTTGGGGTGGGGGGGCAGCATTTTCCTCAATCAGCCAGCCTGGCTCCCTGCCCAGCTCAGCCCACCGGATTCAGCAGATTACACGTGTGTGGTTAACCTCCTTAATACTAGCCTTAATCCCGGGTAACCTTTGTGCTCAGGGAAGCCCAAGAAGTCAGTCTGTGCCAGGCCAAGGGAGAGCTGGCTGGGCGCATCCCTTCAAAAGCTGCCAGCTCAGCTCAAAGGCCTCCCCTCCCAAGCAATAGCAATAGCAATAGCAGTAGACTTATATACCGCTTCATAGGCCTTTCAGGCCTCTCTAAGCGGTTTACAGAGAGTCAGCATATTGCCCCCAACAATCTGGGTCCTCATTTTACCCACCTCGGAAGGATGGAAGGCTGAGTCAACCCTGAGCCGGTGAGATTTGAACCGCTGACCTGCTGATCTAGCAGTAGCCTGCAGTGCTGCATTTAACCACTGCGCCACCTTGGCTCATACAAGGACCTTACAAGCCATTTGCTCAGTGCTGAAAGGAGCCCCACCTTGGCATTCTCTTCCTCTGGGTGACACCCCACCCCACTCTCTTCTTCCCCACAGTGGTGACTGTTCAGCTGCTCAGACATTCCCAGCTTTGTGAGCCAAGGAAGATCCTTGCGCCAGCTGTCAATAAGGGCTCCCCAGAAGCTCCTGCTGGGGCCTCCAGTGGCAGGATTTGGGCCAGCCTCTTTTTCCGGTGCCAGGAGCCCTTGCCATGCAGCAGCTGCCCAAAGGGTCTCTCTCGCTGACCATCTTCTCAAGTAGGCTGGATCCACACATCCTGGGAGCGAGTGTGAGTCAAGAGAGTCATGTGAACTAGGCTTGGGTCTCATCAGGGAGGCTCCATTCACCGTCAGGAGAAAGGATCCTCCTGGACTCCCCCCTGCCCATCAGGAGCTGCCCAGTTGGAGCTGCTGGTCAGAGATTTATTTATTTATTTATTTAATTTATAGGGTTTGTATGCCGCCCACTCTCGAGAGACTCAGGGCGGCTTACAGATAAAAAGGAAGGGGGAACATACAAAAAATTAAAAAACATTAAAATTCCACAACATTCATAACTTAGGATGGGGGCTGGATAAATCAACAGCCCCAGGCCTGCCGGAACAGCCAGGTCTTGGTTGCTTTGCGGAAGGCCGGAAGGGTAGTAAGGGTCCGGATCTCAGCGGGGAGATCGTTCCAGAGGGCCGGAGCAGCCACAGAGAAGGCCCTCCCCCAGGGAGTCGCCAGCCGACATTGGCCGGCAGATGGAATCCGGAGGAGGCCTAGTCTGTGGGATCTGATAGGTCTTTGGGAGGTGACTGGCAGGAGGGGGTCTCTCAGGTAGCCAGGTCCGATGCCATGTAGGGCTTTAAAAGTCTTCCTGAGGAGCCCCAAGGAGCTGCTACCCAAGGTGGCAGGGACAGAAGTGGGGGGTCTCTCCTAGGGGATCCAGATGTCCTGCCCTGAACCCCCCTCCTCCTGCTCTTAATCCGTTGGCTGCTGAGGGCCCTTCTTGTCAGGGAGGCTGACAGCCTGCCATCCATGACCTCCAGAGGTCTGCATGGCAGTGGGAATGCCGCGAACAAACCAGGCCAAGGATGCCATGTGGAGCGACCCCGGGGTCCTGCTCAGTTAAGAGAGATCCCCTCTTGGCTCTGCTGCCCTTCCTGAGCCTGGCCAGAGTCGGAGCTTCCTCTGAGAAAAAGCCAGGAGGGAGCAGCCCAGCCCCCCCCCCCAGCACCATTAACATAGGACTCCTGGCACAGGTGTGTCAGCATTTAGGCCAGAGGCCGGGGTCTGAAGGAGCCCCCTCCCCCATCCAGACTGCCTGTACCCCCTGCAGCATCTCTGCCCCCCCCACCAATGGTAGTCAAAGTCTTTATTTCTAGCAAAGCTTCCAAAAAAGGAAGGGGAGGCTTTTTGTATAAGAACAAATCAATCTTTGGTATTGTTTGGAAATTAAAAAAAAAAAGGCAGAAAGACAAGGAGGGAAAGTACACTCGGACCCCCGTCTCCCCCACACCGCAGAGAGGAGGGGGCCAGTCTTGGGGAAAGCACAATCCAACATGAACGGTAGGTCCTATTTACAGGCAGACAGAGGAGAAGCTGCCTCCGAGGGGGCCATAGAGTCCAAGCGGCCACCCGCAGGCCTGAGTCCGGGGCCCAGGTGTGGTCCTCCAGTGCTCACCAGGGTCTCCAGAGCGAGTCTGCCGGCAGCGATGGGGCAGCCGATCTTGACGAGATGCTGGCGGCAGGAGGGCCTGAGCTCAAACCCCCACCGGTGTAGAGTGGGATGACCGCGCCGCCGTGGGGTGCAAAGGCGGCGTTGGGGATGAGGAAGGCGAACTGCCCGTCGGAAGCCGGCACCAGCTGGAAGCCGCCGCACACCTTGACGCTCTCGCCCGCCGGATTGCCGACCTTGCAGGAAGCCGCGCCGCCAGAAGGGGGCGCCGCGCCGGCGGGCATCTGTACCAGGGGCTGCCCCAAAGAGGCTCCATGCTGGGCGCCGGGCGTCGCGGGCAGCGCTGCAGACTGCGGGGCGGGATAGTTCAGGGCGCTAATCTGACTCAGGCAGCCGGCCAGGTGTCCGAGCAGCCGGTTGCGGACCTCCGTCTTCACGGCCTCGCAGGAGGAGAGGAAGCGAGTCACCTCGGTCATGCACTCGTTGAACCCGGCTCGGTACTTGCACAAGACGGAGGGGTCCGTGTTGAGCGCGGCTGCCGGGAGGAAAAGAAGCGGCGGGCGTCAGGGGAGGGGTCGGCGGCCCTGCAGGCAGGCAGCACCAGCACCAGCACCAG